AAGTTGTGTGCATTCTTTCCAGTAAAATCCACCTTGATTTCCCAAGATACCCATAATTCAGCAGGACTTGTGTGACTCCTGAGTTTGTGATCCATGGAATGGTTTGCCATACAGGAAGTCCTCACTTAACAACCATTCGTTTAGTGATCGTTCAAACTTACTACAGTGCTGAACAAAGGGACTTACAACTGGCCCTCGCATTTACAACTATCAGAAGTGCCCCTGCGGTCACATGATCAAAATTCAGGTGCTTAGCAACCAGCTCACACTGACAACGGTTGCAGCATCGTGGGGTCATATGATTGCTATTTGTAACCTTCCCAACTGGCTTCCGGCAAGCAAAATCAATGGGGAACTGTGTGTTTCGCTTAATGACCGTGTGATTTGCTTAACAGCTGTGGTGATTTGCTTAATGACTGCTGCAAAAAAAGGTCGCAAAATCAGGCACAACTTGCTTAGCAACCACCCTGCTTAACAATAAATTTTCCAGTCCCTATTGTGGTTGTTAAGCAAGGACTACTGTAGTAAGATTGCTTCTTGGAATGTAGAATTTATTCTGCTAGTATTCAGCTTCTCAGCTTCCACACCAAAGACAATGGTTTTTGAAGGGCTAGCCTAGCCAAATCATACCATCCCACCATCCAGAACTGAGCCATCCAATCTTCCATAATGACATGGCATTGCATATGGTATTGGAAACTGTACCTCAGGTCACCTGTACTCCTGTGATGTATAGCATTTTCTAGCATCTCCCAGCCATTGCTCTGCCAATATATCAGCAGTGAAGATAGGCTCCACCTCATCACAAGGTGGAGTGATGCTAGAAGATACCATAAATCACTAACATGGAAATGGCCAAAGACTACATGGGGAACAGGCAATGCAAAATGCACAGCCCTTTGGTTGACATCCACCTGACAAGTGGCCAAGGTGAATTTGTTACAGAGAGGTCATGGAGAAAAGGGAGGGTGCTTAACTTTGACTGCATTGCAATGCACGCTGAATACTTTGTCCCGTGTTTGCTAATCAAGTAGCAAAAATGTCTGGATGGGAGATCAAGAACCCAAAGGATCTCATCCCTTGGTGACCTCATGGCCCCATCCATGCGGTTGTCTTGGAGGTGCTTTGCCACAGCCTTCTTCCAGATTTTTCTTTTTACTTCCTAGTCCAGCTAACAACCCCCTGTAGCCTCTGACCCACATGCTAATCAGGTTTGGCCCTGCTTAGCTTCTCAGCTTAGACAAAGCCAGCCAGTTGCCACCTCTGCTGAAGCTATCTAGCTTGCTTCACAACCACTCAAAGATCCAAAGTCTTCACACATTTCTAAAAATACGTTAAAAAAAAAAAGAAACAGCAAATGATAAAGCACTGAAAAGAATGCAATGCAATTAGTTAGTAGCACAGGAAAGATAGAAACATATAAAATCCACTACTTCCAGTGTAAGGTAGACCCCTAGGCTCACTTACAAGCCTGTGAAAATGGCCAGGAGGGAACAAGGGTCTTTCCCTACAAAAACACAGTAGTAATAGAATCTTGCAACTCTGAAAGTACCTCTCCCCTTCCTTACTTTTACTCTCCCAAGAACTAGGGAAGGTCCCTTCTGAGATGCTTTCTCCACCCCCATTCTTCCTCCGAACTGAGAATTCATTTATCAGACTGTTGCCTAGGCTGTGACTCTTCCTCCTGTCTCCCAAGATCATTCCCACATACCATTACACAGGCACACTTTGTCATCCTAGCCTAAGCTGATGGAATGATGTCAGAGGACCAAAACCAGCTACAGTAGGTCACCATGAATGAATCCAAGAATGTTCTCCAACTGCATATCTAATATTTCAAAGGGAATGCAATCCTTCCTTCAGCTGGCTATTACTTGGTGGAAGCTTCACCAGGACTGAAGCCACTTCAAACAGATTATTCTCTTCTGATCATGAAGGCTCCTGCCTCCATCTTAAACCTTTGGGTTTAAAATCAGCCTCCTGCCCTTTCTAGCATGCCGGAACTCCCAAGGCCAAAAGTCACCCCAGAACAAGTCCAAGGAAGTCAAGAGCCTTGCATGTTGTTTCTCTCGCTCTTGACCAACTTCATCCCACAAAGCAACCAATTTTGTCCCAAAGTCAAAGCTAAACAAAAGAGATGGTCTGGGAAATAATTTTATTCCGGCACTTGCATGTAGTTTTTATTTATTTTTTCCCCTGCCCCTCCTCCCCCCCTTGTTGCTTTGCAGAAGCCAACACCAAACTGGGAACTGTTCATTTATTGGGAATCATGTAGCATGTACATGAGGTGGCCCTCCAAGCACAATCGACATGATGCAGCTCTGGCTCCATCCTACACTGTCTTACCCAGACAGGATACCGCCCTTCTTTACAGAGCACTGACATGGGATCCATGCAACGGCAACTCAAACAGCATAAACATTCATGCCACACACCTTGTACCTTGTGACCATCAGTTGCAGACAGAGGGACGCTGCTCCCCTATTAGCAGGAGCTGAATCAAGGAGCACAATACTTATTCCACACCGCTTTTCTCCAAGGTATTTCAAGAACATCTCTCTGCAGATTGCCCACTGACAACCAGATATGATTCTTGGTTATCTACCCATCTTAGGAGCTGCTATCCTCACCCACCAGAGGGAATCGGGGTCTTCCTCAAGGCAACCTACATTGGCATTCTAAGGTGGTGTGTATCGATACAGGTAGTCCTCAGGTTACGGCCACTCGTTCAGCAATTGTTCAAAGTTACAACGGCGCTGAACAAGGGGGACTTACGATTGGTCCTCACACTTATGATCATCGCAGTGTCCCCATGGTCATGTGATTGCGATTTGGGCACTTGGCAACCAGCTTGTACTTATGACAGTTGCAGAGTCCCATGGTTATGTAACTGCCATCTGAGACCTTCCCGGCCAGCTTCCCATAAGCAAAGTCAGTGGGGAAGCTAGTAGAGAAGGTTGCAAGTTGCTTTGGTAAGTCGCTCCCGTTCCTGCCGCTTTTTCTTCCAAGGAGCCTCTGGGCGGCAGGGCAAGTGCAGGCTCCTTGGAAGAAAAAACTTGCTTAACAACCCTCAAGTCGCAAGACCCAGTCAGATCAGGTCCTTGCTTAACAACCTTCAATCCTCGCTTAACGACATCAACAGGGACTGCCGGGATTGCCATCATTAAGCAGGGCGCACTTTATGAAAGCTTCGCTTAGTGACAGAATTTCCGGTCCCAATTACCGTTGTAACTCGAGGACTACTGGTATTGCTTGATAGAGCAAGACAGGGGAAGATTCTTTGGAGACACATCTAGCACTAAAGCCCACAAAAAAATGGGGGAGGGATGTGCTAGGAGAACGGGATCTGTCACAGGCACCAACTTTTCTTTAGCCAAATTTTGATGTAGCAACTCATGGGAAGGCGAACCCATGGATGACAGGTGTTCTCTCTCAATTTCCAGCCTGTTTTTAACAAGTCCCATCTTCTACTTGGCCTAACGTTCGGTCCATGCCTCCTTTCAGCAAAGAATGTAGATGGGTGTTTTTAAACTCTCTACTCCATTCTGCTCCCTGTTCTTTTCCATCCCAGCTTTCTGTTCCTGTTCCTGTTCCTTTGTTGTCTTGGTTACGTATCCAGGCTCCTGACACACTCCTCATTTTCATTTTAATAATATACTCTTGGAAAGCACAATATTTTACTTCTATTGCATGTGTCACTGGAAAAATTCCTTGACATGGATGACATTTGTTTATCAACCAACTGAGGCTGTTTTATGCTTCTGGATAGTTTGCAAGAGATTCACGAACAGGACATCTCAGGAGTCTGAAATATGATCTGTATCATCTTTATATAAAACATATAAATAACCAACATCCATCAATTCTAAAACTGCACAGGGAAGAGGAAATAAGAAAAGTTTGTGTTTTTTTTTTAAACCTGTCCACATTCTTTAGCCAGAGTTGACAAGTAGAAAGGCTACATGGAAACGGAAATACATCACTGGAACAATAATAATAATGACAATAATAATAATTTATATAGCGCATTATAGAGTATGCAAGCACTTTGCATACATTATCTTGCAATCTTTACAATAAACTAGTGGATAAGTCCATATTTCTAGTTTCATGTTTGCTTGTCTCAAGCCACTTAATGAACTCATTGCAGGCACTATAACCACCGTATGAAACCACATTTCATTACATTTAAATTTATGATAGAGCAACATTTCCCAGTGCAATTAGTCAATGGTTTTTTATTGCTTTCACTATGGCTTCCTTTTCAATTCCTGAAATCTTTCCTGGAACCAAATCTTTTACTGAAGTGATGTAAGATAGCCAGGATTCTGTAGATTTCTAAAATCGATTAGCATGCCAACAATTTCCAGTACCTTTTGTTATTTTCTGTCTCTGCTCCCAATTTAACTGACATGACAAGAAGCTTTTGATTAAAATATTTGCACTTCTGCATAATACAATTTTTGAGCCATCCTGGTTCTTTTGCTTAATGCTCACCTTGATTCATTTACAGGTTGCATCTTACAGTATTGAATCCAGCCCATTTAAGTACTTTTGGCTCAATGTATTCTGTAAGCCCCCAAAATTAGGATAATTCAGCAATTAGGTTAAAGTTATTGCAGAAGCCATCATGGAGTGTGCTTCAATGTTACGATTCAGATGTTTCAGGTTAAAATTATGCAACATATTACAACAAATAAATAACTAGGGGGTATCTCTGCAAAGCCTTGTTAAATAAGAAGGAAATAAACATGCTAAATGACCTTTGAAGAGGACCATCTGAGGGTTACATCATGCTCTGTATGCAAGGCTCTACCCCCTAAACTCAACTTCACTGAGCCCATTTCTGGAATGGTTGGGGTTCAGGGATGCGATGGGTACCCTACGTTTTTGCAAAGACAGAGAGAAGGAAAAAGGTCTTTCACAGAACATCAGCTCTTGAAGCCTTCAACCTACCACTAAAGGCCATTTCTTCCCACTAGGGTTGCAACGTACAACACTTAGGGCTGCTGGACAATCGATTCCGGAGAAGGAATGTCAAATGTCCCCAAGTCATCCCTTTTGCAAGCCGAGCTGATGGCCTGAGCAGGTGAAAGAGTCACATGAACTTCATTTGTAGAGTTGTTGCATGTTAACCTCCTACTGTCCTGTTACAGGTTAATTCAATGCACAAAGAGATCTCTGTGCCATTGTCAAATATTGACTGTTGTCAAAAATATCAAATAACATTCTCAACAACCCACGCTTCTGAGTAGAGTTCCCATACCACCCACTGTATTTATTTATTTTTTCCCCCTTGGCCTTTCTGCCCCTACACTTTTTCCGTCAGAATATGAATTATTCTGGGCTGGTTTGGGGTTTTGTTTAATCCTGCCGAAGGTGATGACACAGAACATCTAATTTACTCCACCAGAAGGTTTTTTTCTCGCTTTGCACAACTAGAGCCGTTGCCAATCAGATGAGTCTGGAATAGCAATGAGCCAAACTCAGAAGTATTATTTATATCTTCACACAGTGAAATTTTCCAACTTGAAGGGATTGGAAAGGGGAAAAGAAGAAGAAATTCGTTCCAAAACAAGAAAGGATTCTTCATCTTATTATTCTTTCTACACTGGAGAGAACACAAAGATGGAAAAAAACAAACCTTTCAGAGCAGTTGGGAGAAGTGGTAGGTAAGCCAGTAGGACTACAAAGCCCAGCCTTGGTGCCTGCCAGATTACCTACACTGCTTAATTTAAGATTCTCTAATTTTAAAGATTAAATGAGAAGGTGGTTTACAACAAAAGAAAGCACCAGCCCTCAGCATCATCTTTATTTGCCAGGATGCTTCTAGGCCCAGGTAGATCCCCAAACTCTTCTTAGAAAGAAACATGAGGGGTGACCTGTGATTTGTTTGGAAGTTTGCCCACCTGCTCAGAAAATTATCTGAGATAATAAGATTATTCTGGCAGCTTGGGAGGAGGGTGGATAGCAATGGGTGTTTTGTGACCACAATGTCCACCAAGGCATCATGATCTGTTTCCAAGTTGCAAATACGCCCACTGAAATTAAAAAGTTGCCTCTCTGTGGAACACAGCACTTAGGCATTTCTAACATGCTCAAAAAAATAGTTCATAAAGAGGACACACATTTCAGAGAAGTAGGCATGGTTTTAATGCTGAATAGAGAATGAAGGGTGGACTCAGAATATGCAAACCAAAGAAGGAACACATCTCCACACGGATAAGTGGCACATTGTGTCCAAGAACATTGTAAGTCCAAACTCAGAGAACGCAAGCTGAAATATCATTTCATTCAAAAGCAGATAATCTTTTGGTGGACCGACTCTCAGACATAAGATGATTTAGCTTTACTCCAATAGGATTGAATTACCGGTCACATCCTCTATGGCATCTTTTACAACCATATATGTTGTCTTACCCCTCCCATAATCCTCAACAAATGGGAGAATATCAGAATTGTAAAGTGGTACATCCAAAGAGATCCAGGCTGTTAAAAGCAGTTCCAGAAGTTTCAAAATTATATTATAATTTACAAGAATCCATGATGAGGTCCAGTTAGATTCTCGCTGTTTGGCAAAAGCTTGCTCTACTGTTCCTCCCCAGAGGATTTTTCATTTAACATTAGACTATATTAACACGTTCAAAAGCCCCCTCCTTAAGCTAGAAAGTGTACAAGAGCAAGGTATGTACTCATACAGGAACGGAATAAATGAACAGACAGTTAAACTATCACAATTAACACACTAGGTCAGTTTCTCTCCATTAGAAGGTCATCTCCAATAGATCCTGAGAGACAATCAAAACTGCCCAAACCTCCAGAGTCAAATGCCTCTTTCAGTCCTAGCTCTGACTCCACAATGCAAATACTCAAATTCTGTAAAAGACTAAAAGTGCATAATTCAGCCGACAATGAGCTGCCCGCTCTGTGAACGATGCACAATGGAAAGGAAAAGCGAGGGACAGACTTCTAATTATATGAATCCACACAGGCAATTCAGTAAATCCAAACTACAAAAAGTTAAGTAGAACTTTCTCGGCTAATCAGCAAATAAACTCTTGTGAGTCACAGCCTGTTTGTGCTGACATTAGCTCGAACACAGGACAACTTAAGCAATGGACAATTGGTGAAGTCTTTACAGGCCCACTAATCTCTAGATGTATTGCCCAAACGTACAACCATAACTCTGATGGTAAATACAATACTCAACAATGTTAAAAATCAGCTTCTTTTTCATACTCTGGAAAGAGTGGGAATAAAATTTACTTGTCCCATATCTCCAGTAATTTTCCATGTTGATTTAAATGCCACCATTCCAAACCAGAAGGAAAGCATAACCTAGAACCTAGATAGATAGACCATTAGCAGATCTCAAGATCACTCTGGTCATTCATTCTCACTTTGACCTATTCACACATAACAACTTTCTCTTCCTACCCACTCACCAAACTTCAGCAAAAATAATTCTGGGAAAACAGAAGCTCATCCTTTTATTGGCCTGAACCATTTACCATAGTCAACTTGCTGCATGCCACACTGGCTTCTGAAAAGCCAGACCTACCTTCTTTAGCTTGCCACTCTTGGTACCCACAAAAGCCAACGAATGGTTCTTGTAGACATAGGCAATGACCGATGTCATCCTGTCCTGGTCTTCTGTGAAGATGGGCAGTCCTCGCACCATCTCGGACACTCCAAGAGGGGCATTCATATCCAAGCCGCAGAAGTTGTCATCAATTGTTAACAGCTAAGAAAAAAGACAAGGGGGGGAGGTGAAAATAACATTATGGACATTATGGTTGTTGCACAAAGCAAAGACAACGCGTAAGTTCTCAAACAGGTTGCTGATTTCACTATTCATCCAACAGTGAATGCACTGGAATGGAAGTCACCACTGTCCTTACATGGTAGCACCTCCCCTAACCTGGGAACTTCCAGATATGTTGGGATTGCAGCCCCACAATTCCCACGTCAACTGGAAATTCAAAAGTTGCATCCCATCTGGAAGAAACAACTGGCTAGGGAATTCTGGGAGTTGAAGTCCATGTATCTTGAAGTTACCAAGTTTGAAAAACACTGATCTAGCACATCTCTCAAAATCCACCATGGGACTAGTTAGCAGAAGGAATGATGTTTCTGTAGGGTGAACTGGGGGTAAAGAGAAAGGAAGTAGGCTGGAAGTCTTGGTGCTAGGCTGTCTACAGCTATTGGAAAAATTGCAGAGGTGTTTCTGCTGGGGCTTTGGAGATGATGGAGGATGGTTTCAGTTTATTAACCAGCATCAATTCTTAAATTAGTTTATTTGTTTGAAGCATTTATATGGCCACCGAACTCAGACCATGCGACTTTGGGTGGCGTATAAAAAGGGAAGAGCAATCAAAACCATAAATACAAAACTCAGCAACACATATCATTAACCCTCCTAAAACAACAACATGGCAAATAGAACTGAGAGGTTCTAGACTCATCCACTGGAGACTCAACTCAACCTGAGCCCAGAAAAAAGCCAGGTCTTAGCCACCTTCCTAAAGGCCTACAGGACTGGGGCCAGCCATTACATCCAGGGGAAGATTGTTCCAGAGGGAAAGGGGGGGGGGGCCCCATAATACACGCCAAGGAGTGTCTGTAAAAAGGGGAGAGGGGGGGGGGGGCTCCTGGGTCCTATAAGATTACTTTGT